AAACCAACATGATCCCCAACTGGAATATAAAGGTGAAATAAAGAAAGATAATCTTGGGGCTGTAGGGATGGCTCAGTGGTTAAGAGCACTGTCTGCTCTTCCAAAGGACCTGGGTTCAATTCTTAGCACCCACATGGCAGCTCACAGCTGTCTACAACTCCAGTTCTATGGATTCTGAGATCAATGCACAGAGAATAAGATTAAATAAATTCTTTAAAAAAAAAAAGATAATTTTTAAAAGACTTTTTTTTTTTTTTTGGCAAAGTCTCATTTATCTAGGATGGTCTCCAACTCACGATGTAGCCAGGATGCCCATAAACTGTAATCCTCCTGCTTCTACCTCTCCAGTGTTAGAATTATAGGTGGGAGGCAATACTTCTGATTTATGAAAGATACTCTAAAAAAAAAAGATACTCTATAAAAATATCTATGTACATGCATTGTGTATATACAGTAAACTATATTATAGGTCTGTGTTAGTCACTCTTCTGTTGCTATGATAAATACCCTGATACAAAGGAAGTTAGGAAAGAAGGGCTTATTTTGGTTTACATTTTCAGAGGGATAGAGTTCATCTTGTGGGGAAGAGATGCTAGGAGAAGCCTGAGGCTGGCCTGGCAGTTAGGAAGGAAGAACAGGAAACTGGGCCAGGTCATACAACCTCAAAGCCTGAGCCCTGGTGATGTACTTCCTTCAGCAAGCCTCCACTTCGTAAAAGTCCCATAACCTTCCCACACAGTGCAACCAGCTGGGGAGCAAGTGTCCAAAAACATGAGCCTATGGGGTTCATCTCACATTCAAACCACGTCAGGGTACCAATTATTTCTTCCTTTCCCTATGACAGTGCCTTGCTTCATGACTTGCTTTGCTTAGTGTGATTGGGTTAAGTTAAGGCTGAGAAGAGAGGCAAACACCACTGAGTGATATGTAATCTTTCCCACTGGCTATAGTGACATCGTGCCCCAGAGAAGGCCTGCTTGTTCAGCCTGCTTCTCGGAGTGAAAAGGTGAGCAGACGAGAAACTGAATAGCAACTGATAGCAGTATGAACAAAGGTACGTGTTTTTAATATTGTAAGTCATTGAGATTTGGGGGGCTGAAAGAAAAGGTATCAGCTCAGGAACCCCAAGAACAAGTTCACAGCACAAAGGGGAATGATTTATTGGCCCCAGAGGGACAGAGGGCAGGGATAAGGGACATAGAAAGACAGGAGATAGAGAAAGAGGGAGAAGGGGAAGAAAACAGAGAAGAAGGGAGAAAAGGGGCAAGGGAGAAGGTTAAGGGGAATTTATCTGGGAGAGAGCATGATCAAAGGACTGCCTCTGGACAGAGAGACAGACACGAAACACAGGAAAATGGCAGCTTATAAAGGTACAAGGGGAAACTCATGTTAGGCTGAGGTGTTTAATTTTAACTGGACGTGTTAACTAAATGAGCCCAAGGCGCTTTTTATTGTTTGAGAGCTGGACCTGAGGTAGTCAGCCTCAGGAGGAGGGAGTGGCCAAATAAGGGAGCAGAACTTGGGGGTTAGCTTCAGGAAAGTAATTTAGTTTCTAGCAAGACAGAAGGAATTGAGGAGCAGGCCAAGGCCTACCAGAGTCATGCTCACCATGCTCAAGCTGACCAGAGTCCCTTCAGGGACTATCTTTGGTTTCTTTTTTTCCCCTAAAGATTTAATTAGTTATTTTTTTGTTTATTTTTTATTTATACAGTGTTCTGCCTGCATGTATGCCTGCTCATCAGCAGAAGGGACCAGATCTGACTATACATGGTTATGAGCCACCATGTGGTTGTTGAGACTTGAACTCAGGACCTTGGGAAGAACAGCCAGTGTTCTTAACCTCTGAGCCATCTTTCCAGCCCCTTTCTTTGGTTTCTGTTGCTGGATAAACACCATGACCAAAGGCAAGGTGAGAAAGAAAGCTTTCAAGTTACAATTCTTGGTTTACACTGTATCACTGAGAGAATTAGGGGCAGAACCGGAGGTAGGAACCAAAAGCATGAGCTGTGGAAGAATGATGCTTATTGATTTGTTCCTCATGGCTTGCTCAGCCTGCTTTCTTCTACAGCTCAGGAGCAGCCATCTTAAGTCCAGTGTTAGGGGATGATCTTGTACCCTCCTTTTGCCTTAAAGGACAGCAAGCATACACATACACAAACATGGTTTATACACATATATGTAGGTAAAACACTCAGACACAAAAAGAATTAAATAATATCATTTTTAAAGGGCTGGAGAGATGGCTCAGTGGGTAAAGTGCTCGTCAGCACCCATGTAAAAAGCTGGCTGTGGCAGCATGTGTCTGCAACTCCCATGCTTTTGGGGCAGGGACAGGCAAAGCCCATGGGCCAGCAAGTATAGCCGAAACAGTGAGTTCCAGGTTTAGTGGGAGATGGACTGGGCAGATGGAGGATTGGTAAGAGACCTTTCTTCACAACCCTGATGACCTGAGTTAGGATCTCTAGAGTCCAGGCAAGAAGGCTGGATGCATTGCACAAGCGTCTGTACTATGTCCGTGTTGATTGTAGTGGTGGTGGTGGTGGTGGTGGCTTGGTCTGGTGATGGGGTGGGTGCTGCTGTTGGAGATGGTGATTACTCTCTCTTCCACACTCTCATCACACTCTCACAAACATCTCCCATCACTTTGTTTCGACCCCCAAATTTATAGTGGCCTTCAAATGACTCCAGGACACAACACACCCACCTTCCTTCCTGGGCTCATTTGAGGTTGAGGTTTCATTCAGTCATCGGCCTCTCACTTCACTGAACCTGTTCTGGTGTCAACCAGAGGAGGAGCCTACTGTTAAACAAACCCCACATCCGTTCTCACTTCTTGCCTTCATTCAAATGCTTCCTCTTTCACCAAGCTCTCACAGCCAACGTCTTTGTCTGCTTCCCCAGAGGGGGACCACTCATGTCTCTAGCATTTCTTTCATTGAGCATTTTGCAGTTAGTTGCACAAAACAAAACAAAACTCTGCAGGCTCAGTACAGTGATGGGCCCATGCTGAGTTAAGCTGACCACAAACATGGCCTCTAAATTTGGCAGAAACAAGCACTCTTTTTTGTTTTGTTTTTTTGAGACAGGGTCTCAAGTAGCCCAAGAAAATCTTGAATCCACTGGTCCACTGGATAGCTGAAGATGACCTTGAACTCCAAATCCTCCTAATGCTGAGTTTACAGGCACGCACCACCACACCTGGCTCCAAAAATCTCCTAACCTATACACGCCTCTTCCAGTAATTTGAATCTTGAAATGATCCAAATTACTGGAAGAGGAACCACGTGTTGGAAGCTTGTTCTTCAGGGTGATACCACTGAGGGGACCTTTAAGAGCTCGGGCCAAATGGAAGGTGCACTGTGGGACCCCTCCCCCTCCCTCTTTCTCCGTTGCTTCCTGGCCATGTCTTCCGGTAGTGGGTGGCTTTGCCTTGCTCCACGCCTCCATGCTGTTCTAAGGCCTGATCTCACATCCACAGCAGGGTCAGTAGACACAGACTGGAACTTCTGAGACAAAAGCAATCTTCTCTATTTCCATCTCACAGGTGTTTCTTCTAGTGACAAAGCTGACTCACGTAGCCGGCCGCTCAGGGAATAGGCAGCCTTCCGTCATTAGCCTCAGTTGTAAATTAACAGTATTTCCTTCCTACCTGGAGTTGGGCCCAGGGAGGGAAATGAGTATGTTTGGCTTCCCTAAACCGTAGTAATTATCACAGGTTCATCATCATCATCCTGTCAATCAAGGTACAAGAGTCAACAGCGGGAAGCACGGTAGCTGCCCTCGCTTTAAGAAGAGCAAGGTGGAGCAGGTGAGGCGCAACGATTCAGAAGGCCCTTTCTCTCTTTTGTGAACGAATGAGCTTCTGAGAGCATTGACTACAGATTTCTTACTCAAGCATGGGACTATATAGTTCAGCCCATCCTATCCTGGGTCACTACAAAAGCTGCATCTGTGAGAATCACTAATATCAAAGAAAAGGAATCCTTCTCCATTCAGGGCTGCTGGAGGCCTCCAGGTTACCAGCAGGAGCTGATCCTTTATTTTAAACCAGGGAGAGGCTAACCTGTTCGTCCTCTCATCTACCCTGACCGCCTGTCTCATTCCCTTTTAAGTTTCTTGTGGCTGGAAGATACACCTCATTTGAACTAACGGCCCTCATGTATTTATTGAGTCGCTTGGGGGTAAGGCAAAAATGTGGAGCGAAACCTATCCGATTGTGTTCCTCTGTCCCCTCCTCCAGGAAAAGGCTAGCCCTGCAATCAGAACCGTGTTTCCTGCCTGGTAGCCCTGGGCTCCTCCTCCACCAGGCCCCACCGGGCTGGTCCCACCCCTTCCTCGTGGGTCATGGACGGGTGTGACCTCCTTCAGCTCCGCCGCTCCCTCCTCCACTTCCACCCTCTCAGATCTGGGCCCGGAAGGCAGCTCAGCCTACAATCCCCCTGTAATGGTTAGGCTTTCGCAGAAAGGCGCAGAGACAAAAAACTAGGCTGATCCCTGTGGCTGCAGTACAGACGGCCCTGCAAGTTCTGATCAAACCCGCCGCTGTTCCGTTAGCTCAGGCCTTTGTTACTATTTCACCTCATTCTGTAACACCCAGAAGAAAACCTGGCGTGAGGGACGCACCCCGACCTCGCCCGGTTTCCAACATTCCAGAATGGTTCTTTGCCCCCTTTCCTCCCAGACTTTTGATAAATCACCGCTTCTGGTGTGCGTAAGAGACCAGAGGGCGGGAAGAAACGGTGGGGTTTGAAGAGATCGAAAGCAAATCTTAATCTTTGGAGGAGCATTTTTAAAAATCGGGTTAAAAAAATGTACGTGGGTTGCATTAAAAGCGGAGCAACCGAGAACCCAGGGAACCTTAGGGCGAAGCACGAAAACTCAAAATATGATACCCCCCCAAGCCAGCCCATTCTACGACGTCCCCCCCTTCTCTGCGGCACAACTCACTCTCAGTGCCGCTCTGCCCACGCATACTCAACTAAAAGATTCAGACCACGCCAACCATGCCACGAGGTGTTTTATTTTCATCAATCATACAAATAATTTTCTATAATATCCCAGGGCAAACCGGTGAAATTTGGCAGTCCGATTGGTGGGGGGGTCCCGCTCCGGAGACCCGCGGGCCGGTGGCATCGGCGCGGAGTGCCCGGGTTCACAGTGCAGCTTGTGGCTCGCGTCCATCTTGCAGGTGGCTCTTTCTCCACATCGTGAGGGGATCTCGGAGATGACGGGGTGGGGTAGGGGAAATCTTCCTAGGCTCTTAGGAAATTTCGCTCCTCTTTTCCTGTTCAATGGCTGCAAAGGGAGGGAGGTGGGCATTGGAGACTGGAGATACCTTACAGCGCCCCACACCCAACCTAGTGTGGGTGAGGCACCCACGAGGCCTGGGGACTAGGAGGGGGTTTGGAAGGGACAAAGTGCTTTGTGTGACTGGAAGGGTGGCCTCAGATTCGGGGCGGGGGGACAGTGGCCGGATGGGGGCTGGGGGGTGCCGGGCTGGCCCAGCAGGGAAGGGTGGAGCGCCGGGGTGGGAAGCCAGAAGCGAAGGCACACTCACTCTCTTTGGTCGGCAGGGTGTTCTTCTCCTGCGTCTCGGTTTTCTTCAGCTTGGCCTTATCAAAGCTGGCGATTTCCCCCATGTCCGGCTTGTCTGCCATTTTCTTACAACCCTGATGGGGGAACCGAGGCGATAGTGGGTGGCCCGGAGCTTAGGGGTGACCGGCGCGCCCTGGATCCCACGCCTTCCACGGACGCCTCTCGACGTGGCATTCCCGGCCCGGGGCGTTCCCGCAGCCCCGCGGCCGAGGCTCCCGGGCTCGTCCACCACACCCTCCCTCCCTCCGAAGCCCCAGGGCGTGGCCTGCCAGCCACGGAGGGTTCCAAACCGCCGGGTCGCCTGTTGCAACCCGCGGGGGGCGCGCCGCCGGCCACAAGCTGCCCCGACCCCACCCAGGGTAGGCCCCGAGCCCAGCACTGTGCCTCACCGTAGAGTCTCGTTCCGAGCTCGCGCTCCAGGTGCTCCCACTCGCGTCGCTGCAGCAAGAGACAAAAGAGCGGCGCCCGCCCCTAGCCTTATATACACCGCGCCCCGCCCCGCCTCTCGCCCGCCGCAACGAAGGCGTGGCCAGCCCGTGGGGGGCGTGGCCAGCGCCGGGGCCCGCGGGGCTCAGCATCTCCAGCCTGCCCGGCCTCCGCCCTTCTCGGCGGGCGCTCCGGGCCCGCTGCTGTCCCGCCGTGGGGGTGGCGGGCACCAGTTCCCCGCCTGCCCCTTCCCTGCTGCATCCCCTTCTCCTAGTACCCAGGAGCCTGCTGCTCACCTCCCGGGAAGGGCGTGGGGGGCAGCTGGGAAGGACTTGGGGTTTTGTTGCGTGTGTATGTGCTGTGGGTTGTGGGTGTGCGGGCGAGCACGCGCGCTCTGCTGCAGCCCTGCTCGCGGGAGACACCCCACCCACGCCGCCCCAAGTCTCTTGCGTTTGTTTCTCCAGAGAAGTCTTCTCTCGCTTTTCCTGTGGCTGGTGCTTTTAAAAACACGCTGTTTGAGGCATTGTCTAAGGGCGGGGGTGGGGGCTAGGAGTCCCGGGAGGGCCTGCTTCTTCTCTCCGTGGTCTTTTAGAAACACTGTAATAGAGGGTGCGGCTTTCCTCCTTCAGTTAACCTTCAATGTGATTTAAAAAGGATAGAAAAAAGCCCGTGTGCCTGCAAGCCTTGCTTTTTTTTTTTTTTTTTTTTTAATCAACCCATTTCTGGTTCCTGGAGTGGGTTAATTAACCCATTCCTGGAAAAGTCACCTCTTTGGCTTGTACAATCCTATTAGATAATTAGTTCTATTATAGCCAGCCAGGGGTGAAACTCACCATCCATTCCCCTTTTTCGACCCCTTTTCCTGTGTCGAATAGTGGAGCATGTTCCACTGCTAGGAGAAAAAGGGGAAACATTTCCTGAAGGGCAAACTTCGTGGTCCAGATAGACCATCACCAAAACCTCTTTGTAGGAGGCTTGAGGTAAGGACAGTTTATTGTGTGGGGCGTGAGGGCGGGTGCTAGAGAGCTGATTCACCCACAGGGTGGCTCACAGACATCTGTAGCTCCAGGTTTAGGGGATCCGACATCCTGGCCTCCTCATCCATCAGGTATGAATGTGGAATGCATAAAACACTCATGAACATAAAATTAAAACAAATCTTTTAAAGAAAGCTGGTTCTTATACAGCATGATGCTGTGCTAATTTCACATTATTATTTTCTTTAGAAGGAACTTCAGTATGTAGCCCTGACTGACTCATAGAGATTGGCCTGCTTCTTTTTCTTTTTCTTCTCTTTCTTTTTGTTTTGGTTTTTGGTTTTTTTGGAGACAGGGTTTCTCTGTGTAGCCTTGGCTGTCCTGGACTCACTTTGTAGACCAGGCTGGCCTTGAACTCACAGAGATCTTCCTGCCTCTGTCTCCCCATGTGCTAGGATTTCAGGTGTGCTCTATCACTACGTGGCTGACTGGCCTGTTTTTGAATGTTGGGCCTAAAAGCCTGTGCTAGCATGCCTGGCTTTGTGCTCTCCTCCTCATAAGCAACTCTGGCATTGCAGCCTCCCCTCTCTCTATACAGACAGTGGACCAGGAAAGAAAAGACGATAAAGGGCCATGCTAGGTTTTTATGAACCAGGCTTGGAAGTAGCTTCCATCATGTCTATCTTCATTTCCTTGGCTAGTATTTAGTCACGTGGTCTCACCCTAATTCCAAGCAAGCTATTCTAACTGTGTCCTGGGGAAAACAAAGCAGGGCTGCATGCATTGAAACAGTCTCTGCTTGTTGAAGGATCTGCCAAGCTTGAACATGAAACTCCAGAAATCCAGAGATTGTCTCTCTGGAGGGTTTTACTGGCACTCGATTCCGTGTTAGGTGTAATGCTAACCATAAGATTTTGTTGTTTTTCCGAGATAGGGTTTCTCTGTGTAGTCTTGGCTCTCCTGTACTTGCTTTTTAGACCAGGCTGGCCTCAAACTCACAGCAATCTCCCTGCCTCTTCTTCCCAGAGTGCTAGGATTACAGGCTTATGTCACCAGGCCTGGCTCAAATTTGATCTTTTTGGGCTCCGTGAAGTGAGTGCATAAATGTTTAGTTGTAAGAGTTGGGCCCAAGGTGAACTCCAATCCCACTTTCTCTTTATTTAGGAAAGAAATCGGGTTGGGAAGAGATGCAGATTGAGGCGGCCGTGGTAAGCATGTGGGATTCCAAACAAAGGAGCATCAAGTGGACTTGCAGGCATTCCCTGTTCTTGCTGAGTTCAGCTCAGTGGCTCCTTTCCAAAAGCAAACACCCTCTTTGGCATTTGGGCTTCACAACCACGGCCAGGTTGGGGATGTGAGGGAGTTGATAGTGCGCTTCCCTAACACACTTGAGGCTGTGGGCTTCAGCCCCAGCATCACATAGACAGAGTCAGAAGCCTGTAATCTTAGCTCTTGGGAGGTAGAAGTAGGAGGATCAGGAGTTCAAGGCCAGCCTTAGCCACAAAGTGAGTTGGAGGTAAGTGTGGGCTTGAGACCCTGTCTCAAAAACAAACCAAAAATAAATGAACAGAAGTAATGGTCAAATTCAGTGGCCTCATTCAATCTTCTAGGCGATGACTTTAAAATACCCATGTGTACTTCAGCCTTTCTTCTGCCACTTTTCCGCCTGGAGGTCAGCCTTAGTGCTTTTCTCCTAGTAAATGTAGCAGAGATGAGCCTTTATGACCTAAGAGGCCAGGCTACGTGAGCACACATGGCTGTGAGCCACTGTCTGCGAGGACGGTGCCTCGGGCTCCGGGAGAGTGGAGCATCTGGGAGGAAAGGCCGCATGTCTGCATTCCACACGGTGGAGTGGAGGGAGGAGGCAAGCTGTTCCGGGCAAACTGAACTCAGGAGCAGGACAGGCATCGCCGCTGCTTAAAGTGATTAAGGTTCTGAGTGTTCTGTTACAGAGCAACACACAAGGCACATCACAAGGCCGGAAAGAGTCAGAACCTAGGGGTGCCAGGGTCCCCAGGGCCCATTTGAGAGTTTTCCTGTATGTCTTCCAGGACATTCACACACATGCCTGCATGCACACACACAAATCAATATTTGCTGGGTGAGTATGGAGCACATGGCAGAGTTGTGAGTGTGGAGGGTGGTGGCGAGACACCCAGAGGAGAGAGGGTGATTCCATCAGTCCTGCTTTGTGCTCACTTACTGCTGGCGTTGTCATTATCAGTGATGACGTTTGGTCTGCTGCGGGAAACACAGTGGATACTGCTCATATGGCTTTGGGGTGAGCTGCTCTTACCTCTGTAGTGCTGGGGTCACAGTTTGAGGACCCTAGACCTCTTTGTTTGGTATTGGGGATTGAACCGAGGGCTTTGTTCATGGTAGACAAGAACTCTACCAACTGAGCTACGGCTCGAAGCCTCAGGATGATATTTCTGTAAAAGACTGGAGTAAAGGTCAGGACAGAGTGGTAATTTCATAAAGCTGCTGAGCTCAGGAGCAGCTGTTGAGGCTTCTTGGATAGACATCAACCCTACCAAGGCAAGGGTTCAGTGATGGGCGTGGTGGCTATGATTCACCGCTTCACATGTAGAGTCCAGATCGCCTTTTTTTTGGTCGGGGTCTCCTGTAGTCCTTGTGATATCAAAGTTGCTGTGCAGCCAAGAAAAGCTTTGAACTTCTGATCCTTTCCCCCACCAGGTACTAGAGTGCAGATATAAGCCAGCATACCTGGCTAATGTGTTGCTCAGAACTGAGCCCAGGGCCTTCTGTGTGCCAGGCAAGAGCTCAACCAACTGACTTCCATCCCAGCCATTACTTTACTTTTGACTCTGAGGAAGTCATCCCCTCCTGCTTCAGGACTCGTGACTTTGCTCTGCCTCCATTTAGGAAACTGCTCACCCGTCCCTCTCCTCAGAGAACCTCAGCTACCCTTATACGGTAACAGCAAGCACCCTTGCCATTCCCCATCCGTTTATTATATTTCATTTTGTCTTCATAGAGTCTACCTCAACCAGAACATAACAAAGCATGCTATACTTTCAGTTTTTAAAATATCCCTCAACAGGAAATGAGAGCCCTCATCTCTCTTCTTTACTGCCATTTCCACTGTCAGCATTCTTTTGAACAAATGCTCAAATTTCCCAGTCAGAATAGAGTGAGTTGTCACAGGAGTGCTGATGTGTTCTTTGGCTGGAGGCATTCAGGGAAAAGTGAGTTGTTTGAACTGTTACAGAAGTGGCTTATACTTCGGTATAGTGTGTCCACATACTATATAGTGTGCTAGACTTCACTCACGGGGAGTCAAAACATCCACCTTCCTGCTGCTTCTAAGCTGTTGTTACATTTGTGGGTTAGTTTTGCCAGTCTGTGTGAAGTCAGACAAAAGAAGCGTGGGAAACAAGTCAGGATGCAACCTGCGCGCGCTGCTTAGTGTTAATTGTCAGTTTGACAGAATCTAGCATCACTTAGAGTTGGGCCTTCGGGCATACTTACGGAAAATGATCCCGGTAACAGTCATGGAGGTGCTCTTCCCTATGGGGGGATCCCAGTCTGGAGAGATGGGCGGGGCAGAGCAGCCGCACACTCTCTGCCCTCGGGAGCGCTTTATGTGTCCCCCTGTGAGTGTGCGTGCCACACCAATGCAGGTAACTTCAGAGGCGAGAAGAAAGTGTTGGAACTCCTGGTGTTCCAGTTGCAAGTGCTTAGAAGCTGCTTGATGTGGGTGATGGGAGCCAGCGTAGTTGTCTGTGCGTGCGGTATACAACCACGGAGCCATCTCTGCAGCCCCTTGATAGGTGTTGTTTCAACTGTTACGTTCTCTCTGTGTGTTTGTGCGTGTACGTGCGTGCTTGAGCACCTGTGTGCAGGCCTGTGGAAGTAAGGAGATGACCTGTGGACCTGTGGGACATGGTTCTCTCCTTGCTCTGTGTGGGTCTCAGGAGCTGATCTCAGGCTTTCAGCCTTGGAGTTAGGTGTCTTTACCCACTGAGCCGTCTCTCTGGCCAAATATGAATATCTAGTGTATGTTCTTTGGTTTTTTAAAACAGGGGCTTGTATCCCAGCCCTAAGTAATACTTGGTC